AGATAGATAGATAAATGAATAATAGAAAGATAGACAAATAGGCAGTAGATAGATAATAGATAGAAAGACACATACACTGATGGAAACAAATAAGGCAGGAAGAGTGATGAAAAATATGGGAGGAATTCAAGTGCAAGAAGATAAAATAATCTAAACAAAGCAAGGGGATTGCAAAATAAAATTGTAAGAATCGGGAACCTGGTGTGAGGAAAGACAACAGAAGACTATACTGTATTTAGTCTTACAGTTCTTGCAGGGGATATGTGTTTGCAACTGATAAATCCTTTGGGACATATACCTCACAGTTTCTTATATCTTTAAAAATATTTCAATTAAAAATATGCACTAATCACAAAAAAAACAAAAAACGGCTTACTCTAAAGTTAGAGGTGAAAGGCCTCTAGCCTGTAGGCCGGATGCAGGTGTACAATATTGTAAATAGCTTTATTCGGTTGGTGGCTGCTGACGTGAAATGAAGGAGAGCAGAGAAGTAAGTGGTTTTCCTGCTCTGCGGGACTGACAGGAAGTTCTTGCTTCTTATTCAAAGTGGAATTTATATTCAAAGTGGGCAATAATTCAGCTCTGCTCTATAGATACAGTACTGAAGAAGATGGAAACAGAGTCCCACATTTGTAGAATGGGTTGTACCGTTTCAGAGTGTGAAATGGTGTCACAACATTGATTCTTCCCCATATTGAGAAACCTCAAGCAATAGGGGCAGGGAAAGGGAGAACATAACTGGAAATATTACAGCAAAGGGAGTTGTGGCTATTGATCTGCGGAAATGAACTTTGTGCAAGAGCCTAAGAAGCTGCCCAGAACCCAACCTACTTGGTCTGAAATTAAGGCAGAAATTATCAATCCAGAATGTTGAGGCCTCAGGACAATGCCTAGCTAGACATGGTGCAGTGGTTTTGAGATGACCTCTGCCAGCTTCTTTAAAACTCTGGTATGTAATCCATCAGGCCCCGGTGATTTGTTTTCATCAAGATCAGACAGGTGTTCTGTTACTATTTTTTTGCTTATTTTAACTTTTATTTCTGGTCTGACTTTTAAAGCTACGTTTTTGGTAGGTTGAACTATAGTTTCTTTTTGTGTGAAGACGGATGCAAAGAACGAGTTAAGCAGTTCTGCTTTCTCTGTTGCCTGTTACTTCCTTGCCATCTTCTCTCTTTAGTGGACCGACTGTTTCCTTGATTTTTTTCTTGTTATTTATATGTTGGAAGATTTTTTTTTATTATCTTTGACTTTTGTTGCAAGTCTTTGTTCGTTCTGAGCCTTTGCTATCCTGACTTCGTCTTTTCAGATTCTGGCTGTCTGCTGATATTCTGCCTTAGATGTATGTCCTTCTTTCCATTTTTTGTACTTGTCCTTTTTTTCTTTACTCACTCAATTGATTTTTGAAGAGGTAACAAAAATCACTTGTTCGTTCCTTTTCTGATCTCAGCCATAAGTATGCAATGTCTGCTGACTGTACACTAAAGGGTAGGCAAAAAGTGAAAAGGATCTAAGAAAACAAGGTAATTCAGAAGTTGATGGAATTGCGTGTTGTGTTCTTTTTTTAGATGTAAATTTTAAATGCAGAAATAATTTAACATGCATGGCTAAATATCTGCCAAAAAAAGAAAAGAAAAAAAATCAGAGAGTTAAGTTGAAGGTGACCAGAATATCCAATATCCACTGTAACAAAAATCTGAATAGGAGAATGATAAAATCTGTAGTTTCTAAACTGGCCCTGCCAATTGATGGAGTAAAACTTCTAGAATATGTAGAAGCAAACGAAGTAATAACCAAAAGCTAGCATGGGTTTGTTAAAAGCAGATCATGCCAGACTAATCTTATTGCATTCTTTGACAAAGTGACAAATTAGTGGACCAGAGAAATGCTGTCGATATAATTTACTTGGACTTCAGTAAGGCATTTGATAAAGTAGACCATAATCTACTACTAGTTAAAGTAGAAAAAATGTGGGTAGACAGCATCACCACCATATGGATTCATAACTGGCTGATCAACTGCACTCAATGTGTAGTCCTCAGTGGAACTGCATCTACATGGAGGGAAGTATGCAGTGGAGTATCCCAAGGCTCTGTTTTAGGCCCAGTATTTTTCAACATCTTCATCAATGATTTGGACAAGGGGATAGATGAGGAACTCATCAAATTTGCAGACGACACCAAGCTGGCAGGAATAGCCACACTCCAGAAGATAGGCTTAAGATACAGAAGGATCTTGACAGACTTGAACATTGGGTGCTATCTAACAATATGAAATTCAATGGTGAAAGAAGTAAGGTTCTACATTTAGGCAAGAAAAGTCAAACGCACAGGTACAGTATATGTGGTACCTTGCTCAATAGTAGTAACTGTGAGAGGGATCTCAGAGTCCTAGTGGACAACCATTTAAATATGAGCCATCAGTGTGCAGCAGCTGCCAAAAAAGCTAACACAGTTCTAGACTGCATAAACAGAGGGATAGCATCAAGATAACATGAAGTGTTAATATCACTTTATAATGCCTTGGTAAGGGACTTGGAATACTGCATTCTGTTTTGGTCGCCATGATATAAAAAAGATGTTGAGTCTCTTGAAAGAGTGCAGAGAAGAGCAACAAAGATGATAAGGAGACTGGAGGCTAAAACATATGAAGAACAGTTGCAGGAACTGGATATGTCAAGTTTAATGAAAAGAAGGACTAAGGGAGACATGATAGCAGTGTTCCAATATCTCAGGGGTTGCCACAAAGAAGAGGGAGTCAAGCTATTCTCTAAACCACCTGAGGGCAGGACAAGCAGCAATGGGTGGGAACTAATCAAGGAGAGAAGCAACTTAGAACTAAGGAGAAATTTCCTGACCATTAGAACAATTAATCAGTGGAACAACTTGCCTCCAGAAGTTGTGAATGCTCCAACACTGGAAGTTTTAAAAAAGATGTTGGATAACCATTTGTCTGAAGTGGTGTAGAGTTTCCTGCCTAGGCAGGGGGTTGGACTAGAAGACCTCCAAGGTCCCTTCCAACTTTGTTATTCTATTCTTCTATTCTATTCTGTACAGCTGCAATTTGGAATATTTTGTCTTCTAGGAGTTCATAACCTAATGTTATAGCAGTATCTTTAAAGTTGGCTATATTATATTTATTTATTATAAGTTTTTCAAGCCATCTTATATTCTAAAATATCAGAGTAATAAATAAATGAGCAAAAATGCAGGAATCAAACTATGATATAAATTAATCTAATAATATACACAGATCCATATTAAAAAAAAAGCAGAGTAGAGTATGCTCAAAACAAATTTGTCTTCTGAAACACTTGGACAAATAAATTTTAATCTTATGCCAGCATAGTAGCAGAATGGATGCTAATCCAAATTTACATGAACATTCTAGATATGGAGCTTCACAAGAGAAAAGGCCTTATGCCTGGGTTGTCCTCAACAAGCTTCCCCCTGGAAAAGGAACCCTGAAAAAAATGTTCTCTGAACATGGGCAGTTTTTTAGAGAGGGAAGTGTTTACAAATATTTTGGTTCCTCAATTGTTGAGGCTTAGGACTTTAACAGAAGTATTTAAATTGAGTTTTGATATCTCACAATAGTAGCACATATCTCAAAGAAATGTATAAAATAATTTGCAGTTTTGTACAAAAAAAACTCCACAGCCTAGAAGTCCTGATTGTTTTCTCTTGATTTTTCTAGAAAGTTGAGTCTCCACTATATTTGGAAAGCGTTGTTGCTAGGATGATCACTGGATTTTCCAAATCTCCTGGCCAGCGAGGCCCTCAGCATGAGAGTTATGAAGAAAAATATGAGCGCCGGTGTGAGAAACACGAAAGCCTGCTCCGAAGAAACAACAGGACCACATGCCGTCTCACAGGCAAAGAAGCCAAAGAACCAGCTCAGAGCCCTCGACAAAAAGAATTCTTCCGAAGAAGGAATTTAACAACTGAAGAGCTTGGAAGGACAAAAATGATGTTGCCTCCTGGCAAGAGGGGAACTGTATTTCCTGTAAACTGTTCTGACAATCTAGGGGAAATACCACCTCAGACCTATTTGAACTATTTGTCAAATATCCAGGTAATATTTAATGATGGGATAAAGCAGCTATTAGACCATCCCAAAATGATTAGTTGGGAAATCTAACTGTTGAATTTAGATTTTCACATCTTCTGTTTACCTGGGTTAGATCAGTCATGAACAACTTTTAATCTCTCGCCGTGCATATGTGTGTGTGTGTGTGTGTGTGTGCGTGTGTGTGTGTGCGTGCGTGCGTGTGTACAGTCCTTTCAGCAGTCTCTGTGTGTGTGAGTGTGAGTGTGTGTATTCCTATTGTTTGTTGTCATATATTCCTAGGTTTGCAATTTACATAAGCTTGCTTGAAGTTGCCAAATTCTCACAAGATTTCATGATCTCATGAGATTTTTAGAAAATTAATTTTATTGTTTAGGAAGTGGTTGAAGAGTTTTTCTAAAATATTAATGTCAGATAGCAGAAAATCTTCAAAAACCATTTTTCTTCTTTCTTTACTGATTGCAAAATAATTTAATATTTAGCAACTAAGTAACTAAACGCTTCTCAATTAGAGTAAGAAAAAAATGTATTGGAACAATTTAGAGCTTCTGTTCCAAAGAGATACTTTAATAATCCCAACAAATTTGGAGAGTGTTTGATATTGGGGTACTGTCTTATTTTCTCAGGAATGAAGTCAACACATGGAAAAGACAAAATATTGTTCTGTTTTTATCTTTCAGCCTCATACCAAATCTATACAACATAACTTCAGTAATATTTTCCCTCTTAGCAAATCATCCCAAGCCATGCCCGTTATGAATGTTCCCACAAACTGTAAAGGTCAGTGACAATCTATAAAATCAACTTTAAAGTTGTCAACAGAAGAATGTATAAATCAGCATAAACTTGAATTTTTTGCTGTCGATGACTAATTTTGATTATTTTGTTATTTTTTTCAGATTTTTAATTTTTAACAATCATATATATTTTTGTTTATAATTTTAGAAACATGAGTTGCCTTATGAATTCATCTCTTACAGTTAAAAACAGTGGTGTTTCACTGTCAATTGTTAAAGGTATTGAAATGGAATTTATATTTTCCATTTTATATTTATTTATATAGGTACACAAACCACAAAAGAACTGAGTTCTGAAAAGAAAAACTCCTGTCAGCAAACAGAGTAAGTAAAGATATTGTTTAGGCTTCTTTCTGCTTTGGAACTAGTATCTTTAAAATTGGATACTAGGCATTTTATATTGAATATGGGGAAATCGACAGGATGCGCTCTTCACTTTCACCGTCTCTTCGGGACGGTTTAGATCCGGTAGGACCGTCCAGGAGCAAAGATATCGGTAGCGATCTCAGACCTCGAAGATCGCATGCCGTATCGGTTGAGACACCAGCTCTGCCCCCCAAAAATCCAGAACATTCTTGTTTGCAGAACATTAAGGAATAGCATTCCATAACTTCATAAATCACATATAAAATCCTCTTGAAGCTAGCTGTATAACATACAGCGATGATAACAAGTCCCACTGACAGAGTCTTCTGTGCACAGGCATCAGATCTACCTCTGGGAAAGCATTTTTAAGCATATAAAAAGGTTATCATGTCACTCTGTCTCCGAACAATTCAAAGCCTGATCTATGATTACAAGAAACCTTCCAGACCCTTGTTGCAGGCTTCAATTGTTTCGTTTCCCATGCTTTCAGTGATCAATTATGCATCACCAGTGAAATTATTTTTGGAGATTTTCATCACTGTGTTTACTAGCTTGCCATGCAGCAACCAGTGTCGAAAAAAATACACAGGTTCATCTTCATTAAAAGCCGAGTGGTGACCAAGAGTACAGAGACCCCATTTCATAGTGCAAATTATTGCTTGCACAAATGCAAAGATTTGTTGCAAGTCTTCACAGGTGCAGTAATGAATGAGTAGATAGTACAAAAGTTCTTGGGTACCACATCATAGTGACATTTCAGCGGACAGAAAAAGACTCACGGTGGCAAGTGGAAAACTCCATTAGAGACACTACCTAGCACTCCTTGATTATTCTAGAACAGGGGTGTCAAACTCGCATTGTCACATTGTCGTCACGTGGTGTATCGTGACTTTTTCCCCCTTTGCTAAGACAGGGGTGGGTGTGGCCAGCATATGACGCATCTGGCCCCCGGGACCTCGAGTTTGACATCCCTGTTCTAGGATTTTTTTTAAACTTTTTGATTTGGTGACTTTTTCCATTTTTGTTCAGGTCTTAAATTTTTATATGGACTATTCTATATGGATAATATTTTACCTTCTTCCTCTTGACAGTTATATCATATTGCAACTGTCTCATATCTCCTTGATAATTATTTTCTCTTTTGTTTTTAGCTGTGGCACAGCAGTTTTAGATAAGGTATGGAACATGTGAAAATGAGTAAACAAATAAGTAACACTTCAACGGAAAGGTAACGGCTCTCTGTGTCATCATGCTGGCCACATGGTCATGGAAATATCTTTAGACAGGGGTGGCTCAATAGGTTGAAATGAAGATGAGCTCCACCCCAATAGTTGACAATGACTAGTGGAGTAAAATCCTGAGGGACTCCTTTTAAGAAAAACAGGAAGTAATGAGATTCCTCTTTCTTTAAGAAATAAAGTAATGCAAATGTGGGCCAAATGGTATTTAGTATTTGGTATTTTTCTCATTTCTGTATGCACACCTAGCCTTCTTGCACATAATGGCCTTAATCAGGCAAGTTGCTATAGTTGTGATGTTTTAGAAAAGCAAATCATGACTTCTTGTCTGAATATGATCCTTAGTAAAGTTTCAACAGAGTTTCAATAATCAGATTTTGATAATGGGATTGCTGTATATGGTGATTTTAAAAGAAGAATTCTTTTAAAAGAATTGTTATTTCTGTACAACTCTATATGTGATAGTGTTTCTATTTATTTTCTGACTATAAACATGTTTTGATAGTAGCTAAATAATGATTTGTTTTATTAATAACAGTAAAACTGCCCATCTTCAAGTATACTAGAATTTATACTAGAATTTTGTGATTCAAAGGCTGACAAATAGTGCGGGTTGAATTTCTTTGCCAAGTCAGTTGGGATTATAAATACTTTTTTTGTATTTCAGGAAATTATTCAACTTTCTAACTACCTCAATGTGAGTAATCAATATTAATTTCAGACAATTTGGGAGAAAGATTCCTTTATAAGTTATATACTTTTTGGATTTTTTTAATACTCAAAGCCTTAATTTTTTAGAATAGCACTGCAATTGAAAACAATGTATTTATTTGAAAACAATAATGCTAGAATGCTGTACAGTACTTGAGGTGCAGGATTCATTCCTGTAGGGGAAAAATAATTATATATTTACAAAATGTAGTTTGGTGCACCTGATTTCACCATTTCCATGATCTGCCATTCTGGCTTAAGTATGACGTACAAAAGCCAACTGATGTCAATTTTCTCTTGATACCTGAGGAACACTAGATGGAATCAAGGATCAAAGGAAACAATTTAAAATCTTCCAGTTAATTTTTTAAAAGACACTAATAATCAGATAGCAAGTTTTATGCATTGTATTGCATTCATTTAAAAATTAATACTCTTATTTTTTCACTGCATAACAGAGAAGCCAGTTCTAAAGCTAAGTAATTATCTAAGAACAAAGGGACATAAACTTAACTTTTTAAGAGTAGTTTTGTACCTATACAAAAGGTCTTTCTCTTTCCTTGAATGGAAACAGAAAGTTGTGGGACTGTCTCTCCCCAGTTGTATCTCCCCATCCTTTGAGATCCAGAAGTAGAGGCATGCTCCAGGTTCCACTTATTAAAAGGTGCAATTTCGTAAGTGCTCCAAAGAGAGTTTTTTCTCTCCTGCACCTACCCTCTGGAACATCATCTCCCGAAGATTAGAAATGCCCCCATAATGGTTTTCCATAACAAAACTGGATTTTCTTACCACGTTGTGCAGTTACGCCCATATCTTGGTTATGTTGACTGTCACTTTTAATCTCAGTTCTTGTATTTATTTATTGGTTTTCCTATGATATTTTAATCTTGCTTTTATTCAGTGAAAGCTTCCCAGAGTGTATGTCTAAAGTGGCATAAATAAATGTGGACAATAGCTAGTGATCAGTAGAAGTTACCAGTTCGACGTAGTGATTAAATCTTCATACAGGAACGTCAGTCTGCACTAACAAGAGTGGAAACTGCAGAACATATTAATTGGCATTAATTTCCAGTACTAGTGTGCAGAAACTGAAAGACTGAAAAGGATACAAGAAATATGATTTTAGAGTTTTAGAAGTATAATTAAAGTTTAAAAGGATACGAGATATGATTGGCAAATGCAAATTGGTAGCAGATTTATGTGAGTTGGACTTTATAGAGTCAGCTCAGACAGACTGAGTAGATGAAAAAGCCTGTATTCTCTGTGAAATAGTCAAGTTGCTATAGTCAAATTTCTCCATGCTTCCTTAAAAAAGAAGTTTAACAATGGAGAAAGAGAATCCTCACTAATCGTAGAACTAGGATAACGAATTCAGAGCATGCCTGGGATATCATTTGAATATGTTGTAACTTTGATTTCTTCTTTTTAGGAGGCACTGCATCGAGAACTAGTCTTGAAAAAGAAAATGGTGATTTTACAAGAGCTTCTAGCCATGTTGCTAGAAGCAGCAGAAAAATCTTGGAAGGTACCAAATGGTCATACTAAGATTACTACTATTCATAATTATGTGTTACATATACATATCATTCAATGGGACCACAGTGGGGCCTCATGGTAAGACACTGGACTTGCTCACCAAAATCAAATCAGCAGTTCAATTTCCTTGAGCGAATAATACTATGCAGGGACAAGAAAAGAGCCCTTTCCGAATGCCTACTGGCATTCGGGCACCCTGCGAGCAAAGATAACACCACCTGAAAAAATTCCTTTCACAGAGGCAGCCAGCCACCTTGGTAATGGCTAACATGTGCCATATGCTAAATAAATAATAAATACCATTCAAAGTAATGATGTACCAGAAAACTAAGAGGGATCCTGTATTATTGGTAGTTAGCTTATTCATACAACAGAATTTCAAGCAGAGGCAGTTTTTCTCACCATAACATTATTCTATAATGACAAGTGTATTTTCTGCCAAGATGTCCTTTCCAGACCTCTATGAAGAGTGAATGAAGGCTGTGCTTCAACTAAATAGAACTGATGCCAAAGAAGTGCCCCAAAATATTTGGCCCAGAAAAGAAATTGCCATTCAGTCAAATTTTCAAACTAAGCTCCTGCAAGATCTCTTAGAACAGAAGTGTCGACATTTACTGCTTGATACCATTGTGGTTTGTACTTCCCTCCTGAAACACTGCTGTTAACATTCAAAATAGCAAGAGGGAAATAGTTTAACATTTTTACTGACAGGAAGTGGTAATTAAACCTCTGAACCTCAGCTTAGCAACAAGTAGGTGTGTACTGTCTCATTTGTTTTCTGTATGTTTCCAGAGTAGCCCATGTTTCCGTTTGCTATTCATTAAAGCAACAAACTGCTTCTGGGATTTCCTAATGAATACAGAGCTGAAATTTTCAGATTTCTCAATGATAAATGGAATAAGAAATGCAAATTTTAGCTGAAATACAAAGGCATCTTTAAAGTTCTTTAAAGCTTTTTAGTTCCCAAGAAAAGCTGAAGACATCTACAAAGTCTTGTCCTTATCCATTGACAATCTCCTGCAAGGTTTTGCTTTTAAATTATAACGTCTTTTTTAAAACAAAGCAAAGGAAAACCAATGTTGCATTCCAATCTGTAGAACAAGTTATCCAAGTACAAATCAAGGTATTGCAGAGCTGAGCAGCTTAGGGACTCCATGCAGTTCCCCAGTGAAATTGCCAAAATTCTCTAACAAAGTAGACAGTATTTGTTCCTTCTTGACAAAGTAAGGTAGAGATCAGAGGTGGTATTCAGCAGGTTCTGACCAGTTCTGGAGAATCGGTAGTGGAAATTTTGAGTAGTTCAGAGAACCAGCAAATACCACCTCTGACTGGCCTCGCCCCCATCTATTCTCTGCCTGCTGTGTCCTAGCTGACCCTAGCGGGTCTTCTTTTATTGCCGGCACAGGAGAACAGAGCTGGAAAGCAGGTTAGTGGGGTGGGGAGGAATGGGATTTTGCAGTAACTTTCCCCAGTTTAACGATGAGAATTGAATAAGGCTGGAAGGGACCTTAAAGATCTTCTAGTCCAACACTCTGCCCATGTCAGGAGTCCTCAAACCATCCCAGACAAATGGTTGTCCAACCTTTTATTGAAAAGCTCTAGTGATGGTATAATTCCAAGAAGCAAGCTGTTTCATTGATTGTTCTTACTGTCAGGAAATTTCTCCTCATTTCATGGTTGAATCTCCCTCTGACAAGCTTCCATCCATTGCTTCTTGTCCTACTCCCAGGTATTAGGGAGAATAAACTGGATTAGTTTGCTTCACAGAAATCCAGAAATATTCCAACCAACCCACCATTTCTGGTTATGCCCCCTTCCAGCTGGTGAAGGAAGGAAAAGGAAATTACGTACATTTGAAGGACTTGGTGTATTTTTTTCCTGCAATTTCATTCTTCAATGAACTATACACAATGTAGTCCTTTCGCATGTTTATATTTAGCACTGAAAAGCTGACTACCATTCTGCTCTCTTGATGAAAATGTGCACTCTAACTAGACTATCTTATATGTGTGGGGTGGCATGGCACTTCTGCCCCAATCCTATCCTTTTTAACTTGGCTGCAATTTAACCAGTGATTCTGTAAAAATGCTAAACATATACGTATTATACTAGCTCTATATCCGTGCTTCACTATGAAACTATGTGATCAGGCTTAGTTTTGGGGGAAGAAAATAAGGGGAAAATTGTGCCTCTGCCTACTAGCATCCATTGGTATTCATCTGGCTAGCATCCAGTCAGTGTGTGATAGAGTTGAGGGCTGTTTGGAAACTGAATTTGCTGTGTGAGCAAGAAGGAGACAGCAAGGAGCCTGGGCATGGCTTAGTTCAACTGTTCTTCACTAATGCTGCTTGGTGCTCTAAAACTGAAACTGAAACTCCTCTGCTTGTGTTTTACATTTGGAACAGATTTTCTTTTCAGGTTGGGAGGGGGAGTAGAACTCCTTAGCATCAGAATGTGTTAATAATAATATACGAAATACTAATGCTCTGATGGTCATTTTGAAAAATCCTTTCTTGGTGAGCACCTAGAAGCCAACAGGAACATACATGTCAAATTTCAAGTTTGTAGGCTTTACGGTTATGTGGAGATTTTGTGATTATGTGTGAGTGGCATTTCATTTATATATATATAGATTACAGCTGCACAGCATACAGTTTGTTGGATACTTAAAAAATAAATATATGGATCTTTTATTTGGCAGTCCCATAGGCTATACTATTAATATACAAGGGATTGCAGAATTTGCTACTCTTTGGATTGGCAAACATTCCCAAGGTTGCTTAGAATCTGGATTTAATAAAGATGTAGATTATCAATTATATTACACAAAAAGGATTATTTTTGAGGAAGCAAATACATGTCAAAAACAACAGTGTAATTTTATGTATGGCAGGCATGTTTGTATATATAACTGTAGGCTTGCATTAATCCTGGTTGATGATAGGTCTGATTGCAACTGTCTGGAATTTTAAAATAAATAAGTAGCATAGGCCTTTTAGTATAGCTATTATATTTTATTAAGGATAAGTGATATGAATAGATATATTTTCTTTTCTGTTCCTGAAAGCCATAGATTCAAATGTGCTTTATTTCTGAAGGATCTGATGCTTAACCTTAAATGAAACTTTAAATAACATGAATAAAGCAAGGCACAGGATACCTCTTTGTATCAGAGAGTTAGAAAATTCTTATTTGCAAATTATTCACAATTTTTAACTTTTTTAAAATTCCATTAGGGTCAGTTTAATGAAGACAAACTCAAATGCAGGCTGAGTATGTTGGAGAATCAACTGCAAATATGTACCCAGGTAATATATTTGGTTCAAAAAAGGGAAAGTTTAAATTTTTAACTAAATTTTTAAAACTAAAACTATGTACATGGAGAATGTCACCTTCTGTAGTTTGGGAACATGCTTTGCTCTCCAGATATCAATTCATTAATAATATTAACATTATACAAGTATTTGGTATATTTGAAAGAATACATTCATTATACCTGAAAGCAACAGCAATAGCATTTAGACTTATATACCACTTTATAGTGCTTTACAGCCCTCTCTAAGTGGTTTACAAAGACAGTATATTGCCCCCAACAATCTGGATCCTCATTTTACCCACTTCAGAAGGATGGAAGGCTGAGTCAGCTTTGAGCCTGGTGAGATTCGATCTGCCAAATTGCAGGCAGCCAGCAGTCAGCAGAAGAAGCCTGCAGTACACCACTCTAACCACTGCGCCACTGTGGCTCAAAGACCTGAAGAATTATAGCATTTGTTGTTCTTTAAACAATAATTTGTTTGCTGAGTATCATGAATTTTTTGCACTTTTTGCAACTATACTGCCACTATTTTTATGGTTGTGTCTCACATATATTCAGATTTATGTGGTTATTGCTAAAAGATTTGTCCTTATAGAGTGCATATACAGTTGCAGTACAGAAACATTTTACATGAGATCCACATTTTGCTTCTTCTCCATATATGTAATAAAAGTATAACACTACTAAGAAAGTATAACACTAGTAAGAATGTTTTGCAGATGCCTAGAAAGCATTTAAAGCCTTTTTAAAATAAAGTTTTTTTAAAAAAAAATAGCATAACTTGATTCACATTTTAATAAATGCAATGTAAGCTGAATAACATTTCAAAGTTTTGGTCTGTTGGCCGTGCCTGGAATATTAAATCAATAATGTTTAATGAGGTAGTGTCTTTTACAGTGTTAACTTGCCAGCTTTCTTTGCCATTTTCTAAGAACTAACATTCTTTAGAATATTATTGCATCCAAAAAAAGTATCTAGTACAGCAAGCTTAACTTGATGAACTATGGACCTCTTGGGTTTCAAAAGGTTAGATCCACATTAAGTCCTGCCTTAGTCCATGTGTCAACTAAAAAGATACTCCTTTGGTCTTTTTAGCTGCCAGAAAAAGGGAGTGGGGGAAAACAAGGCATTCTTGAAATGCCTAGGTATCAACTCAGCAGCCCAAAGTTGTCAGAGCATAAAAAGCTTATTGGAGAGCATGATGGATGACTCTTAGACAGTGGCCCCCAATCTTTTTTGTGCCGCGGCTCGGTACCGTCATCACAAAATGATCCATGGCCCAGTACCGGCATCAGCACGCATGACAAGGCAAGGTGAGCCGAGCGACCAGCCAGCCAGCCGTCCCCCGCTTCTCCCCGCCACCTTCAACTCCTCCTTTGTACCTTTGTCGATGGGCTTCACTTCAGGACGGCTTCGGGACGGTCGCTCGGCTCGCCTTGCCTTGGGTGCTGAAAGAATCCTCGCGCCTTAGTTTTGTTCAAAGCCCCCCCCTTCGATGAAACTAAGGCGCGAGGATTCCTTCAGGACCCAAACGCCGCTTTCCAACTGGAAAAGCTCACCCGAAAGCACTTTCTTGTCAAACAAGATGGCGGCGCCCAGCAAACCAGCGGCCTGGTAGGAAATGTTCCACGGACCAGTACCGGTCCGTGGCCCGGTGGTTGGGGACCCCTGCTCTTGGAGACTGATGTGTCCATTTGGAGAAGTCACATCCACGGGGTGGGGCAAAGACCAGGGTCAAGGGGGAAATGTGTGATGTCATTTTGTACCGGCTGCACCCAGCAACGCACCAACATGGCAATTTCTAATAAACCAAATTACTTTTTCTGAGATGCAGTTAGAGACTTTTGGTTTGAATGAGGGGGATTTGTTGGAGCCCTGACACTATGTTAGTCATGATTGACATGTGCCAGTGGGACAAAGTTTATCAGATAAACCAATTAGATAAACCACAGCCAATCAAACATTTTATGGCAAAGAATTTTGATTTCCCCACCCCCCATCCCTCTCTCTCTTGTTTTTTTTCCCCTTTTTTCTTAGAATTATTCAAAGCGAGGCTTAAAAAGGATTATCCTTGAGATGGAAGATCAAAAGCAAAATTATGAACAGAAAGTAAAAGAATCTCTTCAGAAACTGCTTGAGGAGAAAACGCAGGCACAAAAGCAATTTCAAAATGCCCAGGTAGGCAAGGATTTTATCCTGTGGCCATGTATTGTTGAAGCTCTAAATATCCTGAGATGTTTTCAGATCATCAAGAATGTCAGGAAATTCCTTGATTCATTGAGGACTGTTCTGCTTGTGGCAGAAATTCTTCTCACAAAAGTGGAGGGATTTCCATCCATTACTTGTAGAGCAATGCTGTTTCATCTTAAGCATATTGTTTTCTACCCGATGTGTAGAAAGGACATTTTGATGATCACAGAAAAATTTAATTATTCTATAGAACATTTAGAAATGCATGTGAGTTAGGAATAATGTACCAACATAACGCATATAAATGATTGCAAATTAGAAAGCCTCTGCCTCAGGTCTTGGGCCAGCTACTCTTCTTCATCCTCAGATCCCTTTCACAAGAAGTAAGCTATTTAAAAACGGCTGTCGTTAATCAATAGAAGCATTGATTCATTTTAAATTAATTTTCAGCAGTGTGACAGTATTTTCCAACTTTGCAAGAACAGGAGACCAGTTATCCCCATGTATAAGCATGCCTATCATGTTCTGACATATTTTGTTCAATAGGATCTCTTATCACATCAAATGAAACTTACAATAAAATTGCCATGTTTGCCATGTCTGGGTTTTAAGAAGATTGTCCATAAAATATGTTTGTCAACTTTACTAATGGTAAATGATACTACTCCTCTTAGAGAGCCCTTATTGTTGCCGTGGATGACTGTAGCCTCTGGAAAGATCAACTTGACAACTTAAAAAAAGATTGGAGTCAACTAACTGACCAGCACTCTGAAGTCAAAAACAAGTTGCATGTCTTGGAGAATAAACTGCAGGTACTTGTGAGGCTATATTCCAGATTTCATTTCACAATAACATTTGTCAAGTTAGCAGTTTTTAGTGAAAGAACTGAAAAAGAAAGCATGTCTCAGACACCCATTTATGGTGAATTGTTACCAGAATATCATTTTAGCACATAGGAACAAAGTTGCTGCTGTTATTGTTTTACGCACCTTGACAAAAGTCATAGTAATTACAAAATTCTATCTAATACAGTTAACTACAGCCAAACCAGTAAATAAACATTAACAGCTAAGATAAACTAAATGCAATAACTATACATATTGAAAATGCCATCTGGCCAAGAACATATGCAACCATCATTAAAATAAAATCAGTGATAAACTGTCAAAATTGTGGGGGAATCATGCCTTAAATTAGTCAAATAAGCAAAGTTACTAAAAGGATCTGAAGTAATCTAAATGCTACATTTCCCCAAACACAACAGATATAAAATACTAACATCCAAAAAGTTGTTTTCAAAGAGGTAGAACTCTAGTTGTTAAGTTTAAAGGTATCTCATTTACATGTTAAACTATAAATCAGTGTAACAGCTATCATGTTCCTGTTTAACAGTTGAATATTCTTTCGTATGATTTATCAAAGCAACTCAAATTTTCTTTCTTTGGGTAGATCTTAATGTGCTTTTTTCATGCTTGCAGTGGTCAGACACTCAGAACTCTCAACTTCAACAAGCCCTGAAAGACATGGAGAATGAGCGTGCAAATCTATATTCAAGAATTGATAATCTGCAAGAAGAAAAGATACTCATCATGAAATATCTTGATGAAGTGGAAGGTAAAGAATCATCAGCATGAACAAGAAACTGGATTGTGGTAGATTTAATTTATGTAGAAATCTCATGACCTTCCATTTAAATTACCGTTAATGATTAAAACCAGGTGATGCAATTTATACAATAGTACACTACAGATTGAACTGAACTGAAATAGAGCTGAAACAGAATTGCACAGTTTATCAGGGCCTAGGGCAAAAGAGAGTCTGGTAAAGTTTAATATTTTTCCCCTCCCATGTATATTATGTATAGTATTTTAAAACTAATTGCCTGTTTCTGGGGTGGTAGCCACTGATTTCAAACACTAGTAAGATATTGAATAATAACTGAATAACCTTAGAATGAATAAACTTACAACAGAATAAATTTACAACCAAATAAACTTAGAATGAATATTGAAGAAAGATTATTTGAAAGATCTTCTCTGCAAATCAAAATTGCTTTACAGCAATTTGCTGTTAATTTGCAATTTGCTGTTAAGCTGTGGACAAACAGAAATGTAAATGTTTTCAGGCAAGCAATTCCCTCATGCATTGTAGGATAGCTTGATCTTATAAAAGATTTACCAGATAATTCTGAAGTCTGACTTTCTCAGATAAACAATTCAACTGCAATAATAAGTTAAACTTATTGTTTTTTTTTAATGAAAGGTACAGCTTACTTCTTCTTGAGCTACCAGAGTACACAAAAATTACTAAGCAAGCGACAAAGTGTGCTGCTCTGCTTAGTGTGTGATAAACAATGCTGCCTCATTTGGTTTTAAGGGAAAAAAGGGTGTCAAGGATGCAGTGTTTAAACATCATACAGTGTAGATTTCTGTAGGCTAGACCTCAATCCCTCTTCCACTTACAATACAAACACTTCTGCTCAAAAGAAAAAAAAACTGCAGAAAATTATGCATCATTCCTTATTGTTTTCAGGCAAGCTGCGAACTGAAAAAAATCAAAAACTCATATTGGAAGCAACAACTGAACATCTTCAAAGTAAGTAAAGCTGTCTGAGAAAAGTGGTGAATAATTAGTTTGGAGGTCTACCAACATAGAGTAGGTGTGAGAATATTGTGAATTAAAAGCCTCAAGCTGTTATTTTTGTTTCTTTTCAATGTATCAATACTTGGGAATATAATTCCTGCAAATTCCCATGTTTACAGCTATTAGTCTCTGCCATTAGTGCATTTAGAGAGTCCAGCTGTATCACTGAATGTAGTAGTGATTTCTTAAGTATGATAAAAATGTTCTATGTCATTGAAAAAAAATAGGCTTTTGAATGTGGAATAACTTTCAAGCAGGCCATATAGTAAATAAGACCTAACTAAACTGGTTAGCATATGACCAGAGCCAAGATGAGTGCATTTGTCATGGCAATAATAACAATAATATTATTCTGGTTAAGTTTACACTAATAATTATTACACCGGCACTTCATAATAGTAGTAGCAGTAACACAACATTAACCATTATCAATACAAGATGAATACTGTATCCTGGAATATTTAGTGCTTTAAGACTGGAAGAAATTAGACAACCATTTGTCTGAAATGGTATAGGGTTTCCTGCTTGAGCAGGAGGTTGGATTTGAAGACCCCTAAGGTCTCTTCCAACTCTATTATTCTGTTATTCTATCTTTGTGGCATTCATTTCATAATCTACATTAATGTTGTTGTTGGTGATTAAAACTATAGTAAATTAAATAAATCCAGATAGTAGATTGTATCTTTTTTTTAAGTTTCAGTTTCCTTATAAACACAAACTGCCTATCCAGGCCTAAGACAGCCTTGGGGTACCCCACTGCAAACTTCCCTCCATGTAGAGGCAGTTCCATTAAGCACTACCTGTTGAGTTCAGTTGGTCAGCCACTTACGAATCCACCTGGTGATGATGCTTATTAACCCATATTTTTTAACTTATCAAGTAGTTGGTTGTGGTCTACTTTATCAAATGCCTTATTGAAATCCAAGTAAATTATATCCACAGCATTTCACTCATCCACTAATTTTATCATTTTGTCAAAGAATGTAGTAAGATTTGTCTGGCATGATCTGTTTCTAGCTTCTTAGGATGGCTTTGTTTGCCTCCAGATGTTTGCAGATTCATTGCTAGATTTGTAATGAATGTATTTATAATGACTGTGATCATGATTTATCACTTATATCTTTTATGTACACTGAGAGCTTATGCACTGAAGACATATTCCTTGTGTGTCCAATCATAATTGGCCAATAAAGAGTTCTATTCTCCATTTTTTCCCCTTTTTTAAAGATGGGAACTATCTCATCCCTTTTCCAATCATCTGGAAGTTCCCCAGTGGTCCAGGATCTTTTAAAGATATGGTTCAGTGGTTCTGCGATCACATCTGCCAATTCTTTAAGAACCTTGGGATGTAAACTACCTGGTCCTGGTGATTTGAACTTATCTAGAGTGGATAGATGTTCTTTTACCATTTTCTTGTTTATTTATTTTGACTTGCAATTCTAATTTACAGTATTTTTTTAATAAATTGGACTGTTTTTCCATTTGTATAAAGACAGGTGCAAAAATTGAATTAAATAGTTCTTTCTCCCTGCTGCTTGTCACCTTCTTGCCATTTTCTCCCATTAATGGACCAATCATTTCCTTCAATTTGTCTTTTACATCAATGAAAGCTTTGTTGTTGTTTTTTACTTTTGTTGCAAACCTTAGTTTATTTTAAGCCTTAGCTTTCCTGACTTCATCTTTGTAAATTCAAGCTATTTCCTGATGTTCTGCCTTAATTATGTGCCCCTCTTTTCACTTTTTATACTTGTCCCAACTTTTAATTTATCAAAGTTCTTTGTGAAGCCATGCTGGGGTTTTTTTTTTTTTTTTTGAGATCTATTTTTATTCATTAGAATTGAGCTAGACTGGGTTTTTATAATCTCATTTTCAAAGTTGCCCAAGCTTCTTGGGTTGTTTTCCCTTTGTGTATTCTTATCCTGGAATCCTTTACATCTCTAAGTTTATTGAAATCAATTGTCTTGAAGTATCTGAGATTTTTGTAAATTGTATTAATCCTTTTATACTAGCTGGATATATGGGAACTGTTATCTAGTACCCATGAGACTAACACATTGAAGATCATTCTAATATCTTACCTTTATGCTCATTTATAATTTAAAGCTACAACCATAGTCCTTCATTTCCACCCAACTTTCTCAGCTGATCAATTTATATGCTCTCCTGTGGATTAACAATGTAGTACCTGCATAATTACATCACAGCTTTCAAAAAAGATGTAGCCTATTTTACCATATTTATGACAACCCATAAAGTACAGGTTTTAATTCATGCATTTATTGGACAAGGCAAACATCCTGCAGTATCATAGGAATCCAAGAATGTGTTTCTAATATCATTGTTTTTATAGAGCAGATTGTCACAGTGCCCAATGAAGTCCTCAGTTGGGTGACAAGTAAGCAGAATGTTCAATCAGAGGATCAAGGAGAGAAAGAGAGCAGCCTGAGAGAAGAATTGCAAAAAAGGACATTCCAGCTTGCAGCTAAGAAAAAAGAGGTGAAGAGGTGATTCAAGCAGTAAGATTAAAGCTAATAACATTAAAGATTAAAGGATTTCATTAGGAGGCTGTTATTTGTAAATATCTTACAATGGAACTATCAACACTTTGTATTATTAGTTTGTATCTCATCATTGCATTTGACTCTTACATGCATTATTTCAAATTTCTCTTACATTAAATATATGTCCAATTGCTTATCACTGATAGTAAATTCAGATTCTCTTTCAGTTGATGTCTATTGTGTATGAAAAGGCTGATAATTACTGTACTATGATAATGTACCTTTAATCCCATTATTATATACAAAGACATGGAACAGAGGGATTGATCTAGATCCAATATTGGATTTCTCACCTCCAGTCACTAATAGATCAACTCAGTTTTAGTATATGTTAACAAAACAGCTAATGTTTTCCTTTATTACAAATGAAATGTGAGAATCAAGCCCATATTATTTCAGTTATTTTGGTAAACAAAACTTGTACTTGGTATTATTCCATCAATTAGGAACAAGGGCAAGAAAATTAGCATGTATGTCATAAAAAGAACTAGTGTTCTGCCAAGCATTTATTCCGCTTTTCATCCATTCTTACTTAGATGAACTGATAAAATGAATTGGTTTCCTAAAATAAAATTTCACTCAATACCATATTTCACCCATGAGGTGTTTTGGCACGTAATTAGTTATATACAGATGAGGATGGTATGTAAATATCCTGTCTTTCATTATCTGTCCAGCAGCTTGTAGACTTTGTAGCTTTCCATGATTCAATTAAAATCCAAGCAATTTATCATAATAAATCAACTTTTCAAAGTAGCTGAGGAACCATTGGCATAGAATGACATACAATGCATTTAAACAGTATTGATAAGACCTTTTGCTGTTGTCACATTTTTCTCAATTGCTGTTCTCTAATTAAACTAGTGTCTTAAATTTAAACAAAAATTAAGAAAGGATTTAACATCCCCAATCCCTTTATTCCTTTTGCTATTAGGGGTGGATGCTTACATGGATCTGTGACACCATCTTGTTTAAGGTCTTCCATGCTAGTTTCCATTTTATTTTCAAATCGTCCCCAATGTTTCTTAACTTCCCTGCTTGTTGCTCCTCCCAATTCCAAAATATATGGACAATTCTGTTTTTGTGTATGTGTGTGTTTCCCAGTGAAATGCCTCAAAATTACAATTCTGTTTTATATATATATATATATGCCTCACAGTAGTGACTGTGTCATTAAAACCCTCAAAGAAAATGCCATCAGCTTAATGACTTTTATAATTGCAGCTAACTTTGACGCAAAGAAGAAAAGCTTCTTCCCCAGTTCTAAGCATGTTTTTGGTTTTTTTCCAGTGTATTGATCTCTGTCATAAACTAGAAATCCTGAACAATCAGTATTACAGTTGCCTTGCCAATTTACAGCATTTCCATGATGAACTCAAGCACTCTCAAAGCAAGCCAGCCCAGGTAAGAGGCTTTGAACTTCCATTTGTGCCACTTAAACTTGCAACCTTAATCATGAAAGATATGGTAGATTTCCCCAATCAACTCAGCATTCTACAGAAATTGGGATTCAAATACCCAGAATTCTCATAAACCCACCAATTTATCTCAGTGGTTAGCATATCTAGAAGTTGAAATCCTAACCAATCCAAACAATTATTGGTTGGTGAAGTCGTTATAGTTCACCTTCCTTGTTTTGGTCCCCTGCTCATGGATTTGAACTTGGATGTTTCAAAAATAAATTTTTTTATAAATGCAACAAAAATAAAGATGGTGAAGTTACATTATTATTAAAAAGATTGGGTGCCAGACTTCATAGAAAGCCTGGGATATACAAACTGGGTATTTTTAAATTAGACATATATGTTTATTATAACCTGTCCAGAGTCACTTAGGTGAGAGGAGTGGTGTAGAAATGTGATTAATAAATAAAGTCCCTTTATACACTTGTAATTTTCTTAAGAACCACGCACAAAAGATTCACCTTGTGTCTCTGCAGCATGTCTATGAGATGTAGCTTTTAAGATAATCTTTTAACCAAAACACACTGAATAACATTGAGTTAAAATTCATCTATCTTCAGCATCAATTCTACTGTATAGTTTTATTTTTTCTTGCCATTGTAGAGGGGAAAAAAACTATTTTACTTCCGATACATATATTTTAATCAAATAGAGATAGAAGTTTATCTGGAGTAAAATAACAATGTGAAAGCACGATAGCAGTGTCACTACATGACTAGGAGTAATTTTTTTCTGACTGTACTTTATTTATAATCAATTTATTATCTCAAAACATTTTTTTTCAGAGAAATCATGATCATTGGATTCCTATCATAACGGTAATCATGGTAACAGCTCTGGTATCTTATTTAAGTAACTTTATACCTTGAACATATCTTGCCTTATTTACCTATTATTGATTGCACTATAGCAGACTAAGTTATCCCAAATGGCTAGTATTTCTATTTTAAAATGTCTTGTAAAATTAAGAATTGCATATTGGACTGAGTTTATCTGCTTGGTTTTGTATATTGCTTAGTTTTTGAATTATTATTAAAACCAAAACACAAATATTGTTTGTATGCCTATCCATGTATTATTTGTATGCCTATCCATATATATCATTGATCACTATAACCACTGACACAATAATCATTTGTACAGTTTCAAAAATCGTAAGTTCCTCAATTCACTTAAGTATTACTTGACCATACTGGAATTGAAATCATTGCCTATTCTAGCTGGAGAAAAGCACTGAATTCTTTTTACCTGGAATTTGGAATAGATCAGTTAATAATATCTTGCTAACCTGAAATAGATTCTTGGAAACTTAAGTATGAAGGATAGATATCCAGAATGCTGCTGAAAGAAAAACTGCATATTTGTTTAAAACACTGACATAATTGCTTGAACTATGCTTCCAAACTGCCCATTCTGAAGCTTTTAAATAAGACAGTAGAATACTGTGGAGAAGCACTGTTATCTGTGTGAGATTTATATTTACAAGGCCACTGCTGATAGAGCAACCACCTCACTTGCAATGCAGAAATCAGCAAATTCTTTCTGAGCTTTAAAAGCATCCTTGAGTTTTTCACACCATGCGCTGAGGTTCGTTTTCATGTCTGGATACAAGAGTTCTGGGATGCTAAAAGAATAAAACTGAACTCTGAAATCACTGTTTACCATACAAAATGTGGCTTGCACAGTAAATACTCTCAGTGGAATTAGTGTAAGACAATTATCAGAACTCTTCTGAGTAGGAAAATTATAGGATGCTGGATACCCTAGCAATACACCAAACAAAGTGCAGAGATTCCATTCAGTCGAAAAGATTTCACTTGAAGATATTGTCTGGGATGTATCTTCTGTTAATGCTTTAATATGATTCAATATCTCTGACAGATGGCTTTTTATAAGGTTCACATTTTCTGGGTTAGAAAAGGTAGGACATGGTCTAAAAGCAGAAATGTCCATGAAGATGACACTATTGTTAAGCAGGACTGACTCCAGACACAAACACATCAGTTCCAAGTTGATTATTAGAACATTTTCAGCTATATTAAGAATATGCAACCGACATGTAAGTTGAAGAGTAGTTTGAAGATGTTGAACGTAGTCCAGGATCTGAGAAGTCCCAGCAGAATTGTAATCATACAGAAAAGCTGGTTTCAAACCAACTGCTACTGCCAGTACCTCCCCAGCTACATTCAAGGAGGCTGAAGATGATAATCTTTTCTTCTTGCCAGTTCTAAGATGATGTTGAGCTGCCTTAATGAGCAGTTGTGCCAATTGTTCCGCCATTCATAGCTCATTCATTAGAGAGAGAGTGCTATTCAAGAACTCCTGAAACACTTAATTGTCCACTGGCTTTAGACATCTGCTTCTTCAGCCAGGCCTTAGGAAATAGTAAAACATTAATTCATGGTGATGTAACAAAAATAATCAAAATAGTTTCATTTTTATATATGAGTCAATAAATTAAACTGAAAGAACTAATAAGAGGAAGATATGTGAGGGGAAGGAGCAATGGAAAGTTTCACATACATGTAATTCATCCTGAAACAAAACTGTAATACAGAATTATACATACCAAGTTCAGAAAAGAAAACAGAACAGTTCTCAGAAAAGAGAATGGATGCTCAGCCTTTACTGCAGTCTGGATAAGCTTCATATTCTATCTATAGATGATACCTCATTCAAATCAAAATAACTGAGTGAATTTTTTTTTCCACACTAACCAACGCATAGCCTTGCAACAGCAAAAATCATAAACTAGACTGGTTACTGTAAATATAAAGCATGTAAGAATTAATGAAGTGCTTCTCTTTAATGCTTCTCTGTTCAAGAGAAGGTGCTGGAATGCTCTCTGGGCAGCTAATTGATTGTTTAATCAGCTTCTCTATTTTTTATTTCTGCCTTCAGGTAATTGTTGACTCCTGGCAACTGCTTGGAGTAGCCCTTGTAGATTTCTTGTTGAAAGTGGTTTGCTATTGCTTGCTTCTTAAAGTTGAGAGGCTATGACTGGCTCAAAGTCACACAGCTATGTTTCTGCCTAAGGCGTGACTAGCATTTACAGCCTCCTGGCAGGACTACCACTTACAGCTTCTACATCAAAATGTCTCTTCCTCTCAACTTACATTGAGACAAATATTAGTTGGTTGATCTTTGTTTAAATTGTTTAGGTTATAATTCTCTCATATATTCCTGTATTGCTAAATAGTACCATATAAACCTTATGAGTAACAGTTCATGCAGTTAATATTTATTAATTATATATCCCCATTGTGTACACCACTGATTTGGTTAAATGAAGACTATGAAAAAGTTCATTTTTCTCCTTGATGGAAAGAATAAATTGGGAGTAAAGGATCTGTGCCCATTCAGATGCTACAGAGTTATAACTCCCAGCCTCTGTTATTATGGGCTAAATGAAAAGATGTAGTTCAGAAACACTGAAAGGACCATTGGTTCCAATTCATTCCATTATACATACCACACAATACAGAAGTAAGAGAGGCAGTGGTGGAGATACTGTTGCTACAAAATAGGATCAGAAATTCAAACAAAATCAGTAGCAAAATATTTTGTTTAAATAACAAAAGATCCACTTTGCTCATGAGTTGTACATCTCACAATTTGCAAAAGATTGGTTGTTCAATCACATTAATTCCAACCGAGCCGAGGTGGTGACTTCCCCTGCATTTCTTAGCATCTGGTCCCATTTTATGTTTCAGCAGGCTCTGATCCATAAAGATCAAGCAGCAGGACATAACCCCGAATCTTGAAATAAGTGCCTCAAGACCGAAGTTATCTTACATTTATTCCACATCTCCCCATCACTCGCCCTGGACGTAAAGATTGCCATCTAAATAATGGTTACTTGTGTATATTACTAAATAGTTGGTCTGCCTAAAGATCAATCTTGTTTTAAAGTTTGGAGAAAGCAAACTCACAAATGTGACCTGTTCGTTACGCGCTATTTTCCTGATTTTATTGAGCAACACGTTTTGTGCCCTGCAGAGATGCTCTCTGACTACAACGCAAGTAGGTTATAGTTTCAGACCAGCGCAGGCATTTAGGAGGACATCGCCAAGCGACATTAGGAAACCGACCTCGCTCTGCTGCCCTCTCTCCCTCTTTAATTAGATCCCACTAACCTCCGCGAGTCTCGGCCCCACCGAAACAAACCAACTCGCTTCCATTCACGAGTGAATTACATTTCCGCTTCCTATATCTCGAGCGAAGGCAACCAATGTGGAGCTAGAAACCGGAAGGAAAAGGCTGGCTCTCACCGCCGACAGCCAAAAAGAGACAGGAGAAAATGCGGAAGCGATAGAGCGAGGCCGGCGATCAAAGGTTGCCCGCTAAAATGTACTAAACTCGGGAGAGAAGGGAGAAGGGAGAAGGGAGGAGCGGATTTCGTCCCCCACTAAAGCTAACGTCTGTATCGCCAGTGACAAGTGTTGCGCCAACGGCTGATTTTGCCCTGATTTGTACTTGACTTGCCTGGAATAGCAGCCACGGGCTCTACAGAAACAGATGTAGGACAGGTATCCACAGCAAACGGATTGTGTCAGGATGACACGCACGCGGCGCTATCGTGTTTCTAACCCTGCCCGTACATAATGCATTTGTGTCTCAGTTTCATGCCATTCTATCATTCATCTTTTTTGGCCTTTTTGTAGCTCGCTTCCCACCCTCTAGGGCTGATGCTTGACAAGTAAAAAAAAAAAATATCAGTACACCAAATAAAACTAGGCAGATATGACCTCATTGACGATCCTTACTCTGTCAAGGACCTTGGAGTTCTCATATCAAATGACCTAAACGCCAGAGCTCACTGTAACAACATTGCCAAAAAAGGCATTAAGAGTTGGAAATCTAATCTTACGAAGCTTCTCCTCCAGAAATATCAAATTGCTAACTAGAGCATACAAAACTTTTGCCAGACCAATACTTGAATACAGCTCATCAGTCTGGAATCCACACTGCTTATCAGACATTAATACAATCAAGCGAGTCCAGAAGTATTTCACGAGAAGAATACTACACTCCCCTGCTCACAACAGAATACCCTATATCACCAGGCTTGAGATTTTGGGCTTGGACAATCTTGAACCATGCCGCCTATGGTTAGACTTAAGAGTAGCACACAATTTATCTGCTACAATGTCGTACCAGTCAATAACTACTTCAGCTTCAACCACAATACAAGAGCATACAACAGATACAAAATCAATGTAAACCGCTCCAAACTTGATTGCACAAAGTACGATTTCAGCAACAGAGTGGTCAATGCCTGGAATGCACTACCTGACTCTGTTGTTACATCCTCTAACCCCCACTCCTTTAACCTCAATCTAAACACTATTGACCTCACCCCATTCCTAAGAGGTCTGTAAGGGGCGTGCATAAGTGCACCATCGTGCCTACCATCCCTGTCCTATTGTCCCTATTTATTCATACTTATACCTATTATCTTGTAAGCGATTGACAAATCAAATAAATAAATAAATGTCTTGAAATTGTGGTTTATTGCTTTGCTTATTAAAAAGGTTATATCTTATGACTATAACTTTGTTGCTTGTATCTTACGATTTATATTGTTTACGTAGTATCCAAGTGTGATTTATGTTGCTTATTTAGTATCCAGGACTATCACTAAGTGTTGTATCTAATGTTTTATGATGGATGTATTTTTATAGTGACTATGGTAATGATTTATCACTATTGTTATATGTACACTGACAGCTTATGCAATAGAGACAAATTCCTTGTGTGTCTAATCACACTTGGCCAATAAAGAATTCTAATTCTAATATGAGGAGGAAATAACAGAGT